ATGGTAAATCATAACATCTATCTCGCGAATGGTTTCGCAACAAAAAGTAAGCCTCTCTCTGTCATCCATTTGAATTCAAGCCAGGCTTTTTATAAATATGGTGATGCTCATGAAAGATTTTGAAATATTATTTTTCAATCATGGTTCTCAGTGCACCATTTTTATGAGAAATAGACTCACTTTTCGTAAATGAATATTTTCCTTAGGGCAACTAGGTCATAAAAATAAATTATCTCTGAAGTACATTCTTGTTTTTTTTAGGTGTACACCGTTACCAATAAATGAACGTATTCACTGCAATTTACTAGAGAAACTATGAATTTTAGATCAACTTATTATCTAAAATTCAATGAACTTCTTCTTTTCAGCGTTATTGGCACTGCGGAATGCCTCATCAACGACACCATCTACTGCAATTACTACACATTCTCCACCACGACGGCAATTAACTATTCAAAGTAAACCTCGGATTGAGGAAAACCCATTAGAGCTGCAAAAACCCGAATTAATTATATTCGACAAGGATGGTACTCTCATCTGCTTTCATTCGATGTGGATCCCATGGGCGATGGATACAGCAAAGCGGTACTTATTATTTATAGTTCGGACCAAATATTCGTGTTCGAGTAACATATTCGAACATTTCAAGTGATCAAATAGTTGACGCACATATTTGATTATTTGGATAGTCGAATATTTTGAAACATCGGCATTTAAATATTCGAGCTCCAATGGTTTTTGAACTGAGATTCGATCAAGATCGTTCGAAATTCTGTAAAATCCTAGAATCTATGCAGTCGAATATCTGCGAAATTATCGCATATTTGAGATTGAGCATTTATGTTTGATCACATTCGAATAATCCGACTTACCATTCGAATAGTCGAATGTGCACCTATACTGTCTCGAACATTCGAATATTCACACATGCTCGAATTCATATTTTAAATAGCCATTCGAATAATATTAATTCGTTTGAATATTTTTATTAAGAACAGATTTCCGATATTCGTTCATTCGAAAAAATTTTCCGATGTTTTAACTATACTTATTTTTATGTATAGAGTGAGCAATAAACAATGAGATTTACCTTTCCCCAGAAATTTCCTCACATAATGATTTTGAAAAGATTATTCTAGGCCTAGTCACCGAAATAAACTGTAAACTTTTAACAAAATAGTATAAATGATAAGTGAATCCCATGACGCAAACGTGATCGTTCAAATACGCTTCCTGTTTATTCGCCAATCATAAAGACCTTGACCAAAGCACCTCCGACGATCATTGCCTTGAAAAACATGTTTTTGAAAGGAATGCTCGGCGGCAACTTCTCATTGTAAAACAAGATTCTCCAATCGAGCGCGATTGCTGAATTTTTAAAGAAACGGGAATACAACAAACTACAGCACTAAAGAAGGTTACTGAGAATGGACCATATTGGAAAGTGATTCCAAAGATTACCGTGAAAGTTTGA